CCTCTGGTACAAGGAATCACATCGGCCCTGGGTATTGAACAGCACATGTCCTAACAGATTCACTCAAATCAACTGAAATTCAGATAAAACATACTATTACTTACAAAGTTATCTTCCTCTTATTCCCATTATTTGCTGTTTCTTTTCTTATATACAGACTGTAAACAGTTTGGGGCCAGACCCATCTCTTCTTTCTATCTTTGTGAGATTCAGCATGAGGAGGTGGCTAGCAGGTAGGATCACTTCTAAAAAAATAAAACATCTCTACGTGCTCTTGTCCTCAGGCAGTAAGGATTCAACACCTTTGGTCATTTACTGGCTGACCTGTTGCAGTAGATGCTAAGAAAAACAAGTTCCTGTATGGACTAGTCCAGCAGCTATTTATAGCAAAACGTTGAGTAATAACTTCATGGGTCTGGCATGGGAATTGCTAGGAAGGATGATGGGATAGTATTCATGCTTTTTCTTTGGAATAAGTGCCAGGGATGCTGTTTATCTTAGTTAAAATAAACTGTAACTTTATGCCCTGACTAGCTGTTGAGGTTTCGTGTTTTAATTCAATGGTCCTGGTTCAGATGCTGGTCTGCTAAAGAAACAGGGTTTGTTACTGGTAGAGGGTGTTTAAACTGGTGCAAGCTATGTGCTGCAGAGCCAGACGAGAGTGGAAAAGTCAGTAATTTAGATTCCATTTGTGACTATGGTACAGAAAGTGCAGATTAATGAAGGAATGCACGTGTGGATGGCCAAATTCTTGTGTAAAGGGAGAAATGCTGCCCTTTCTCCTGGTTTTGCCTCAGCAGTACTTAAATTATTTGCCTGGAAAAAAGTAATATTTTAATCATGTAGTGGTTAACACTTCCAGTGCTACTGGAGACTCTCTGGTCTGGGCAAAAGTTCTTGGTTATAATTTCTGTTTGTGCACTATGAAGTTGCTGTAGAGCAGGGCTGGTGTCCTGCGCTGGGTTGGCAGCTTTACTCCTGTGCTCCTCGTGCCAGCTCTGCCAGGTAGGCTGGAAGTCTTAACAGCTCGATGGTGGGAGTCATGCGTGGAGCTCCTGTGTTTTAATCCCAGCAATGCACCTGGGAAAAAAAAAGCCATTTTGATGACAAACTCTGTAACCTCACTTAGTACCCAGGGCAAGTTACTTGGCAGGAATACATTACAGTAGATGCTACCAAAATAAATCCAGCTGCTTAGAACTTTGTGAGATTGGGGAGCCTTGGTTAATCACTAGGACCTGTTATATTTTAGGAGAGGGGTGATGTTTTGGCATTTTTTTTAAATGAGAATTTACAAAGCTTGTCTGTCGTGAGAAGAACAAGCCAGGAGAGTGCAAGAGATTTAAAAAAAAAAAAAAAAAAAAAAAAGAGTAAACCTAAGTGAGGGAGAAATGTGCTGGATAAGGTGATGCCAGTGACGGAAGTGGAAGACTTGAAAGAGTGAAGTGGCTGAGAAACTTTAATACTTGTGACAAGGGAGGTGGAGGAGGAAGATGTTTTGGAGAGGAAGGGATGGTAAAGCAAGCAGAGGGGAAGGCTGTGCGTTCTGTGAATTTTCCTCAATGAGAAATGGGCAGAGGGAGAGGTGGGAGAGAGGAAAGGGGGATTTCAATAGAGAAATGGAAGAGGAATTCAAGGAAGTACATGGCTCATATAATCCTGAAACATGTAAGAGGATGTTAAGTGTGGCCAAATAGTAAAGGCAATAGTAAATTTTCACCTGCCTGCTAAATTGCTAGCTCTAATAACCCCATGCTTTAAGGATTTATTTGCTGCCAGACATAGTCAAGAAAAAAAGCCACTGGAATCAATACCTTCTGGGTCTAGTCAGTGTGTAGCAACACTAGAATTTCAGGTGCATTTTTCCTTTGTGAGCAAAGAAATTTCATATTCCATTTCGCAACGGCATAAACCCTGCAGCCAGGAGACCCCTAGCAGATGTATGTTTAAAGGGCTTCCCTTTAGGATTGCTTTCGGACTTTATATTGAATGAAGATCTTTTGATATTTGGGTAACTGGTGTGGATGGAAATAGTTTGGAGACTGTACCGACTAACAACAAAGTGAGCAGTGCAATTTTCTCATGCTGAAAAAGGCAATTTTCAGTTTATCAGAAAGAAATGAAAACAGACAAAAAGGACGTAGAGAAGACGTACTGGGTGACAGTATATCTACAAGCCACCAATCTGCAGAAAGGAAAAAGCAATGACCTGAGTGTTAAGACATCAACACCAGAAGGTTTGCAAAGATTCAGAGGCCTGCTCACATTGCTAAACAACCTTGTCCTTAGACAGACAGGACTAAGTGCTCACTCAGACGGCTCCTGGGATAACATGGGCTGACCCTCAGCCCTGGTTGATGAGAGCAATGTGGAATGGGAGCCATGGTGGTCTGGAAATTCTTGGTGTCTCCGTTGAGGGGTGGAAGATCTTCATCACAGGAAGCCTCTGTAGCTGGACATTGTCCTTCATCTGTGCTGTCACTTTGGGGTGTCCGCTGGCTGCTCCGCGGGAAGGGGAGCGCTGGCTTTTAGGTTTGGAGACAATCTGTTTCACACGCGCTTGCAGGCAGACGTTAGTGGAGGAGGTTCGCTTGAGCCACAGAAAGGAGGGAACGGGAGCCTTTGGGCAAAGCACCACTTGGGCTCCAGAAAAATTATCACAACATCTCAGAATTGCTTGTTAAGCTTTAAATACAGATGGGGTAAGGAGCTGCTTCTGGCAGGCATGCTTTCAAGAGACCCTGCAAAGAACAACGGCAGGGAACTTCAGGAGGAAGAGTGTGAAACAAATATGACTTGAGCACTGCGTTTTTAAACAAGACTACACACGAAATGACTCAATTTTACAGTACCTCAAAGTGACTCTAAATGGATGGTTTACATTAGATAAAAAGGCACACTCCAAGTGTAAATGTAATGTATGATAGAAGAAAAACTGCTTCCTGAGATTCTCTAGAAATGGCATTACAGCTTAAAACTTCATGGTATGTGGTACTGAATGATAAACATAATCTACACTGTCCAGCTGGGTAAGAGAAGAAGTGGAAGAACAGGCTCTGGGATACATACCCTGACCCATCCAGATGCTAAATTAAGGTGAGGGCATACACACGTGACGTTTGCTATAAATTCAAGCAGCAAAATGCAGAAGAGGCAACAAAGCCACTGGAGATTTCACAACTGCGGTCCAAAGTTGTCAACAATGTTTCTGATTTGAAAGGAATATTATGCCTTCCTAACATGCTCTGCTGTAAGGCAGGAGCACATCAGGGCTGTGCTGGGCATACCTGTGCTGTGCACAGAAATAGGTATTTGGGAAGGTGCAAGGGATGTGAGGAGGCTGAATCCCCAGCGTGGCTGAGCCCATGAGCTCTTGAGGAAAGAGCTCTTCGCTGTTCGCTGTGATCTAAGCTCACCTAGCCTGTTGGGCTCTAAACCTTTTGTGGCTTTGAGGAACTTGATGGTATTTGAGGGTTAAATTGCTGTAATCTCAGGGATATTTCAGTTAGCGCAGCTCTAGAGTTTGCTGTGAGATGAATGACACCGTCCCTGTCTTGGAGTGTTTTCCAGGCTCTTTCTAGAGGCATCCCTCCAGCGGTTTTTGTTCTCTGCCCCAAAGCTACGAATACAAGCCCAGCACCCATACCACCTTCCTACAAATGTTGTCTCTGCAGAGATATGCCTGTTTTCTGCCCTATGTTGGGGAGCCAGAGCTATTCCAAGGTCTTATTGTTCACTTGCCTTATCAGGGAGACTCGGCAGAGCCAAAATTTTTGGAGAGAGCAAGGTAGGATGGTGTCTCCGGTCTGGGACTTTTGTCTTTCTCAGTGAGAAATGGCCTCTGATTAGGGAGCTGTGCTAAACAAGACACTTAGGATATGGGAGGTCAGAAACAACAGGAGGTTTTTGGCCACTGTGTTCTGCATCCCTAATGTATAGTCTTATGCACTGGGATGAATGGTAGAGCAGCGGGAGAGCGTCCTCCAGCTGATGAGCCAGACGAGGTGCTCTTCATTACCCTCTTAAGACCCTATCTCTTTCCACCGGTGATAGAAGGAGTATAAAGAACAGCATCCTAATTTAGCTCATTACATTGTAAATATGCACTGGGAGTAGCCTGCTGTGGGGCCAATTCATCATCTTGAGTCCAGAGGCACATCTTTTATTTTACACAGGTATGATTCAAAGCTAACTCAAGGGCTTGAGTTCAGGACAATAGCTTCTTGAACTTGCATCTTCTTTAGATGGCTTTGTAGGTAGGTTACACCATTTTCTACCATCTCTTGGATTTTGGTTCTACAGGTCCATTTGCTTGTCTCCGGCACTCTTGTGTTTGCTTTTTTCCTGCTCTCCATTGCTCCCACCTTCCTCTTCATCCTGACAAATATCTAAAGTTTAACCTTGACAGGTTACTTCTGTTTCTGGTGAACTCTCAATATTCAGACTTCCAAGCTATTACACCGTACATGGAAAATGTGCCCAGGATAGACTTTCCATTAAACTGTATTTAAATTGGAAGAGAATGCTGGCACATCTACAAGTATTCCAGAATTAGATCCCAAAATACTGAGGCTAGTTAATCTTTTGGAAGAACAAAAACTCTTACTGATTTATATTTAGCAGAGGGAATGCATTTTAAAAACACAGTCTATATGAGGCCCCTTGAAGAAAACATCTTTTACATTGATTTGTAGCGCATGGAAATACTACGTGGCCATAAAATATTTGCAGTCGGGCTCTGCTTCTATGTAGCTGCTTTTTTGCAGCATGAACTGTCATGAACCCTCTGAGAGCGGCTGCTCTGCTGACTGTGGGCTGTGCTACCTCTGGGGCAGCAGTTTAGCTGTTCATCACAGCTGTGCCCGGTATTGCAGGAGGGGACGGGAAAAAGCAGCGTGCAGTTAGCACTACGGTGGAAACACTAGGCTTGTGAGGATGAGGCTTTGGTTCAAAACCGATGCAAGGTTTGTACTTGTGCTGTACCTTGGGACCTGTTGCCCATGGCGGGGAGAGCACATGCGGAGCCACGGTTTGGCTTCCTGGCAGACCCGCAGGAGGACGTGGGTGAGAGCAGAAGCTGAACTTGCCCTCTCTGTGTGCTCGTACGAGGTTAGAGGGAGGGGCGGAGGTGCTGCTGGTCCTAATCTCAGCAGCACTGCTCTTTTAGTTAAATGTCTACAATAACTAGTTGGGCTTAGTTTACATGATTATGAATTAGGAGGAACTCTGTAATGTTAATACAGGTGTAAAATGTTCTGTGCGTAGTTCTGATCTATACTAAGAAAATGAGTAACTGGAATTACGGTAGGTGGGAGAGTTCACTGGCTTGTCCCAAGTGGACAGTTTCTGGAAAAGGAGCTATGGCAGGGAACTGGTTCATTAACGCAGTGGGTCAGGGAAGCAAACATAACTTATTTTATAAAGTATACATAATCTTATGGCCAACAGTGTATCTGCTTATCTTTGAGAAGATAAGGATTATCAAGAGGAGGTAGTATGGAAAGTTTTGGGGTTTTTTTCTTCCTTCCGTCCCACCGTCTGCAGCACGGACAGATCAGCCATCACCCTGGGCAAGCTGTTCCTCCTCCTCCTGAAGCATCAGATATTAGCAAAGCAGGACATTTCCAAACTGCACATTTGCAAGAGAAGGATAAACAGAATTTTTAAAACATCCCTAAATCTTAAACCGAACTGGACTTAATCTTGCTTTCTTTTGTTAGAAGACATAAATATGTTTTTACATTTCTCATTAGACGGCTTACAGACCTGACCTGATCACAGCAGAGCAAAGCCACTCTAAATCAAGAAAGAGATCTTGGATGCTTCCAGAGTACCATTTTTTACTTTGATCTTCTCATTTCCTACTCACAACATCTAACTTAAAATGCCTTAGTAATAATAATAAAGATACAAAATCACTAAGATGCAAAGAGAATAAGGTCAGAAGTGCCTTGCTACTCTCAAAAATCAGTAATTGTATGGCACATGCAAGTCACTCCTGCCTGTGGATCAGAGGAGCAGCTAGAAGATAGTGTGGGAGAAGCAGCTGCTGCTGATGGAGGGATCTCAGTCTCCTTTCCATGGACCTGGCTGGATCCCAGTGGATGTGGCTCCCGAGGCAATTCATCCTGCCACTGCCCAGCATCTTTCTGGGGGGCTGCTCACCCCCTCTCTCCTTACCCAGCAGATGGGAGCATATGGCTGGTTACTTATGCTCTTGCTGTTCTTATGTGCTTAGTGGACTTACGGTCTGCAGGGGCTCGGGGGGATTTGCATGGGGAGAGGGAGAGGAGGGAGCCTGCAAAGGGCGGGCTGCACCCACGGGAAGCAAAGCGGTGCCGGAGGTCTTCGGCCATGCTCTGTGGCATGCCACCTCGGTGACTGAATTGCTGTGAATGACTGTGAGACATGCTGAGTAAACAGTGCCTAATTAGGAGATGGTTAATGATTACACAGCATCATTGCTGAAGATGTGAAGTTTGAAAATTAATTTATACGGGGAAGGGGTTTCTTCTTGACAGCCTTATGTGCATATAGAAATACTTATATATTCACACACCTCTCTTCTGATATCATCTTTTCTTCACAAAAAAAAAGGGCATGATCAGCCACCTTTGTGGTGCTTCATGTTTTTAAGTGCTTGCAGTGCCGTCAGCTGGATTGTTCCTTCTGGAGATGGAGTGTGTGAGGGTTTGCCTCCCCAGCTCAGTCCTGCCCTGCTGTCCTCTCCTCCTGCCTCTCCTGCATTTCTGAGGGTCTTCCTCACCTTCCTTTCCACATCTGGCAGAGTCTCCTCTAGGCTCTGCCCAGGAGCATCTTCTCATCTCTCTCTGGGTAATTTCAACCACAAACATTAATTCTGCCATATCCTTCCTACAGTCAATTACCAGATTCATCTCTCCTCTGTACTACTTAAATCTCCTTTGGTCAACCTAAATTTTTGCTCTGGGTTTTTTTGCTTTTTTAATAAAATATTACAAACAACTCAGGCTTAATATAACAGAGGCAGAGCTCTTATTCTCCTGTCAATCCTCAGCTCTTTTACCTTCTTTTTTCAAGCTTTATAAAAATTGCCACCCTCCCGACTCTTCCGAATACTTATAGCCTCAGCATCATCTTCAAGCAAGCCTTCGTAAAGCCTCACATCCGAGTTGTAAGCAGGGACATGTAAGTCAATGGGTTCAGCTGATGTTGCTAAAAAAGCCCCGTGCCCAGGTGATTGCCTGGCACTCCTCCAGAGGTTATTGTCTCTGCATGAGGAGTGACTGTTGAACAGGACACATCTCTGCTCCTCGGCTACTGCGCTGCACATGATGGAGGGCAAATGCACATCCCAGCTGAGCAGAGAGGCAGAGGAAATGGCAGCGTCTGGTTCAGCCCATCCTCCTAAATCCGCTCAAACACATCAGTGTCCTGAGTCTTGCAGATTCTGCCTGCATCTGTCCTATCTTCAGGACACAGCCTTTCCCCTTTCCTTTGCTTTCTGCAAGCCTCAAAGTCTTCTCTCTTCTGCCATTGACAAAGTCTTGCCAGTTGTATTTATTCCAAATTTCTGCTGTTGTACCTGTTTTCCTGCCCTCTGTCCTTACTGTCACTTTTTGCATCTCTTTCACTAATTTTATTTTTCTCTATGAAATTAAAAATCAGCTTCTTCACTTTGAGGGCTCCTCGCAAACTAACCACTCCCTACCACCCATCAGTCAGGTTTGAAAGATGGATCCATCATGGATCACCATGCAATCAACTCCAGCTTCTATCGCCCACTTTTTATACTGGGGGGGGGGCTTCTCATAGGTGTCTGTAAAACCACCCTTGTTGTCTTTCAGATCTGTTACTTTAAACACAGCTTTGCTTTTTGGTCTTAAAAAAAAAAAAAAAGCACAACTCCAAGCCCCACCCTGACTGATGTTATTTCCTTTCATGTGCATGTGGTCGGTCTGCACCTGCCTCTTGTCTCGTAGTTCGCAATTTAAATGGAAAATCTTACACTATGTACAAACCTACTCTCTTGATACATCTCGTCACGGCTAAAATAGCACAGATGAAAATAAGTTACGTTTTGGCTTTGACTTGTTTTGGAGTCTTGGATGGGAGTGCTAGATCTGACCTGCTGGCTTAGATCCACCTTGTAGATATGTCCCTAATTCACTAAAGTTTAACCCAAGATGCTCCATAATTTCAGGTGTTCTGGATTTAATGCTCCAGAATTAACCCTTTGCATTTCTATCATTGAATGCCCCAACACCTGCAAAGCTATAGTCCGTCTTTTTGGAAGAGCAAAGCTTTGTTTCCTGGTCATCTTGTAACGCCAAGATGAGTAGTTCACCGTGGTGACAGCAATCTGATAGGGTCATTATCATCGTAACAGGCACAGGGAGAGTTGGACATAGACTGGAGATACGTGATTACTTATTCCTTCAAAAACAGCAAACGTTTTTAAAGGCAGTGAAGAAACCCTTGTTCTTCATTTGCATTAATTTACGGTTCCCTCTCTTCTGTGCACATGCCCTGGGTCAGGCTGCAAGTGAGAAAACAAGGTTTGCGACCCCTTTTCGGTTTCCACTGGTGTTAAGCTAATATTTATTTTTAGTAAACTGTATCTTGAAGTGTGCTTTCAAGAATCGCTTTGCAAAGCCTATCACAACGAATTCATTGTGGTTTTCTCCTTTTGAACTTTATTAGCAAATCTGAAGAATCAGTGTAACTAGTTACGCTGTATTTCACTGTCATAATTCCCCAAAGTATGGGAACATCTCAAAAAGCAGTAAGGCTTATGAGCATTCACCTGGTAGTTGTTTTTTTCTCCCTGTGCTGCTAGTAACGATCCACCTTTGGAAAGGCTGCGCAGGTACTCTTTCAGGGCTAGGGTTTTTCTCCTGCACCATGCGTGCGTCCTGGGGCAGGGCTTCCCTTGTGTTCCCCACACCCGCTCATGGTTTCCTTTTCTTCCTTCTCAGAATCCTTCCTTTTAAATGCATATACAGTAAGGCCACCTGCCACTCTGTGAGTCTCTTTTGATAACGTAATAATTTTGAAACCCTTTTCTCCTTTCATAGTGTGGTGTTTTGCCCTGTCCACTCTTTTCACAGTCACTGACCTGCAGGACAGGTACCTCTGTCACCAACCCAGACCTCTCCTCTCCTCCTCTCCAGGTGGACAGGGATTTGTTGTTCCCACTTGCTACTGCCTGTCAGTCCCTGGGCTCTGTTTTGAAGTCATCTTTTCTCTTTCTTTCAATTCTGAATGCCACTTATTTCACATGCTCTAAGTAGTTTATCTTAAATACCTTGCAGTTAGTGTTCAGTCTGAAAGGAGTTTTAACAGTATTCTGATAGGTGCCTCTCGAGATTTTTTCAACTGGAAAAAATGTTTTTTAAAAAAATTAAATCCAGTCATTTCTTGCAGCATTTAAGGAGTCCCAAGCCTTTAAGATTATGCCTAATGTTTGCAGAGCATGAACGCTTCTGATGAAAACCCCTAACGCTTCGGGATGCATTTTGCTAAGCTGAGAACATCCAGTGCTGCCTTTTATGTAGTGTGTGGATGCTGTTCAGGCCTTGAGATCCAGGAGACCAGGGACATCTAACGCACATGGAGGGAGAAGTGTGCCACCTTTGGGGCAATATTCTGCTTTCTCAAACAGGGGTCTGAAAAGGGTGCGCTTAGGAGTGGGGCGCTGAAGGCAGAGCAGTTCAGAGTGCTTCCCATTGCGGTTCATGTAATGTCTCCTTCACCTTGGCTTACTAAAGGTTTCAGAAGATCCATCCCAAGTGCTTGTGGCTCAGGGGAGCAAGTGGTACATTACTACTTTTGCTTTTGTGTTCGGGGCTCAAACCCAATACTGAATGAAATGGTTCAAACTGCATCTATTGTTGGGCATGAATTGAAAACTGAAGTCTATCCAGTCTTTAAAACCGTAAGAGTGAGCAGATGCTGTTCTTTATCACCCTCAATGTGAAACCTGGAAAGCTGTACGGGGGTCCATGGTGCTTCTCTAGATTTGCAGCCCATTGACACAGAGGCTGTTTTCAAACAGGCATGATTTTGCTCTTGTGACTTCTGTCACAAGATACCAGTTTGCGTAGCCCTGGCATGTTGTTTCAACTCCCGCTTGTCAGGGGGAAGTTGTGGTATGTTGTGGAGTGGGAAACCTGCAGTGCCCTTGAACATGCTCTCAGATTTCAGCCTTCTTTCAAATACTTAATTGTTTGCAATTTTTATTTCAAGCAATTACTTCACTTCACCTTTGTAGGTGAGTGATAAGTCAGGTTGTGGGAGGGGAGGGTCTGGGACAGACTCAGTTAATGGAGTCTTGCATGGTTGCTGTGAAATCAGGAGGACTTTTGCTTACTTTGCCAGCTGAAACTCTGGGTTTGTGAGGTTCACTCAATTCTTTTACATAAAGAAAAAAAATTTGAAACCTACTGCAAGGGCCCCAGCTCTATTGTACCAGTATTGCTGGTAGCAAAGGCTGAAGATGTCAAAATGGGTAGTAGTTTAAACAAGGGGATGGAAGAGGGCTGGAGTCCAGGTCCAGCCCAGCGAGAACAAAAACTTTAAGCAGATGATTTATTTTATTTTCAGCTGGCCAAGCAAGGACAGCAATGTATCTCACCAGCTTGTGTTGCTGAAGTGTCCCTTTCCTTGTCTAAGTCCAGTCTTAGGTGTTTGTATTGCCATCTGAAGTTGCATGGTGTGTCCTCCTTTTGGAGTGGACATGCTGCCCTGAAGAAGTTGAGCAAAGGCCTTTATATTTAACCCATTGCTTTGTAAATTCTCCAAGTATTTGTAAGGTGCAAAAACCCATTATTAAATAGTTGCACTTTTTAAAAGTTAAGACCTTTTCTGGTCCTTACCCGAGTGTGTTCATCATGCAGGAATCATTGCTGTGTAAGAGCATTTGGGAGAAAGAAGAAGGTCTCCTCCATCCTTCCATCCGCCTGTAGAAGCTGATCCTGGGGTGGTTTCTTCCGTTCCTGTAGAGCATGGCTGCCCTGCGTTCCAGGTGTCTGCATGGGGGGCACTCGTCCTGCCGGCACCGGTCTGGCATGGGTTTGACCCATTCTTACGTAGCGGTGCTGGGCTGTCATAGTAAATAAGCATTCTTCTACCATCCTTCCCGTGGGGTCAGGCAGGACCCTACGGCTCCGTAACGCTGCTCCAGCAGGTGCTCTGGACATATGCGGTGGTGTTATCAGAGCCTGTTTTGAAAGCTGTGGGCAGTTTTGGTGACTCTGTTACCGCATTTTAAAAGGACACGATGTCCTATGGAGAGGAGCGGCAGCTATTATCACAGCCAAGTTAGCCGGTAAAATTAGAGCACTGAGATAGGCAAACAGGTTAGAATGTGTGTGCCTTTGTGCTGCACAAGTTTGTTTTGGTGTGTGACTGCTAGCAAAAAGTTTGCGCTACAAAATTCAGATCTGGATGCAAAGATGGCATGAATTGAATGTATATTCAGTGGTAGCTGCTTCTCTTTCGCACATATGCACCCCTAAAAACTATCAAAGACGTGTTGAAAAAAAACAAGACTGGAAATGAGCAGAAAAAGAGTTTTTCATATTTTTCTATGGATCCCTTGACTTTAAATTGTCTCAAACAATTGATTATATCCCTCAATATGTGTCTTGTTTCAGAAATGACTGTGACTTCATACATATTTTAGAGAAGCTGAAAAATTTAGGAATGGAAGTTTTTACACTAGATGTTTATTTTTAGTTAGTCTACCTATAAAAAGGGGATATAACAAAAACAGAGAGGCAGCTAAGAGATGAGCAATGAGAAGATCCAATGGCCTGAAAAATTTCTGCCAAAAGAGAGGCTGGGATGGTTTGCTTTGACCATCTGTCAACGTTCTTGTCCCTACAGACCAGCATGACCCACCTGGGGAGGTGGAGTGGAGCAAGGTTAAGTTGACCACTTTTGCTGGCTCTGGCTCATAACCATTTTTGATGGTGAACAGCATCATGTTTGCAGTGATAAAGGAAATACTTCTTTGCAAAATACCATTAAGCATGAGGAACTCATCAGCAAGGTATCACTAAAGCCGAGGGCTTAACAGGGTTCCAAAGGGGTGGTCATAGAGAACGTATCTGGTTTGGAAAAAAGCTAGTGATACTGGAAGGGATGCAACCTCCCGTTCTTTGGTGCGTAAGACAGCCTCTAATTAAACAGGTCTTAGGAGGTAACCTCAGAAGTTTCTCTCTCTGCGGCTGCTGCAGTTTGTGTTGTCTTCTCACCACCCAGTCTGGGCTGTGGGAGAGGCAGGCTACACTGCCCCGGGTCAGTAGCGTGGCCAAAGGGAAAAGGTCAGGCTTGTGTGAGCCGCTGCGTCCTGACCTTCCCCATGACAAGCTGCCCCTTCCACGCAGTCTGTTCCTCCTGAAGGTTTCCCTCTCCAACCTGCCTCCTCAGGTGAACCTCTACATTTTCTTGGTACTCGGCACCTTATTTCTCCTCCTCCATGTGTGAGGAACAGGAGAAGGAAGATGACTTATATTCCACATAATTTTTAGCATCAAATAACTCCCTTCACCTCTCCCTTGAAGCATTAATGAAAGTTTTTAAAGTTCTGTTTGTCTGGCCTCTCTGCTCTGTTCTGAAGGGATAGCACTGTTGCTGAAAATGCGAGGGAAAAAAACAGCGAGGAGAGGAGAAGGCTGGAGTGACTGATGCTGAAGTTGAATTAAAATGTTCTCATTGGAAAGCAGGATTTTAAGTTCTTTTGGTAGTTATTCAAGCTTGCTCTGATGATATGCCATTACAACTTCATGTAGCTACAAGCCAAAACTACCCCAAAGGCTGGGAGGTATAGGGTCCAGGCTTTTTATTACAAAGCCAAGTATTACATTCGAGGTGTAAGCATTATTTTATAGTGTTATAGTATAGTATTTATATATTTATAAAGACATAATTGTCAGCAATTAATTTGCATGAAGAATGTATATAATTAGTTTCTATAGTTTGCATGTTTGAGGGATAGAGGTTTTAACCGTACTGTTCGGTCATGCATCTTTACAGTGCAAACTGGCACATTGTTAAGGTCATATTTGCTTTTGTGGCATCCCTGAATGTATCACGGAATAATCCTTTATTCTATTGATACTCTGTTTCCAAATCTACGAGTATCTCCTCCCAAACATACGCGCATAATGTAGTGTGTATGTGCACACAAGGAAAAGGAAACAGATGACTTGTGTTCAGTATAATGATTATTTTGTGCTTGAACTGCTGCAGGCTCCCTGTTGAAAAGAACTCACGCATCCATTCATTCATGAACAAAGCTGCTGTCGTAACTGTGTTGATCCTGCATTGACTCTTTGTGTAGGGCCTCGGTTAGAGAAAGATGTACCCTTCTCCCTGCTTCATAGCCTTTCTCCCTCTTCGCTTTCCTCACTGTAATCATAGTGTGCTGATCAATGCCTTCATGACAAGTGGGACCTCGGCTGAGGTTCCCATCAGTGGAGGAGAGAGGAGAATGGATGGTGGTTGGTGGGGGAATCCAGGCGCGTTATTGCTGAGTGGGGCTTGAGTATAAATTAGCAATGTGTGTGTCTGAGCTGGCACTGAACGAGGTCAGACAGGACACACGGAGGCAAGGATTGATGGAGTTGCTGTTGCAAAGGAGGAGTGCAACAAATGGTCAAGTTGTGTGGGAGTCCTCTGGAAGTGGAAGATTTTCCCTAAATTTGACAGCTTTGATACAGCAACTTCACAAGTGCTTTGCTCCGGTTTTGGAAGCAATTCTTGCCTTCTCTTCTGATGTGTGGCCTGAAAATGGCCTGTGATTTCAGTGCTGAGCTGCGTTCTCCATGTCGTGCTCTGTACTATCAGACTGTCTAGACGGGATCCTTCTGTATCCTTGTAGCCTCTTATTGTTCAAGATGCTCTAGAAAGCCTTAGTGATTTACGGATGGGGATTTGACTAACTTTTATTCTGATCTATAGTTCCCCTCTGAAGTGCCCCTGCTTTTTTTTGCATTGAAAGTTTCTTGCTTACTACTCACAGCAGATTTGAAACCCTTTTTCCCCCATTTTGCTTTCAGATTCCATAGGTGGGTCATTTTCGGCTTCCTCCCACCGATGCCACCACAAGCAAAAGCACTGCCTCCCCATCCCACAGTGTGGAGCTCTGTCCATCAGCCCTCTGCTTTTCCATCCCCACACGAAGGGATCGCAGATCATCATGGACACGACACAGAAGGCAGTGAAGCGCCAGGCTAGCTTCTGCAATGCCATTACCTTCAGCAACAGGCCCATCGTTATTTATGAACAAGTCAGGCTTAAGGTGAGTAAATGATACCATCTCTTATTGCCATGTGAGCTGCTGTGAATCACTGTTGGGGTGTACCAGGCTTTGGTGCTTGCACCAGATCTTTAGCCCTTCCTTGAAAAGCACAGTAGTCAGATCTTGCCCTTGAAGATGTGCGATCTTTGTTGGTACTTCTGCTTTTGTCATCATAGTTCTTGGAGCCATCAGTACAGACCGCTGTAGAAACTGGGAAGAAAAGGGAAATCCATGCTCCGAAAGAGCTTATCTGGATGTTAGACAAGGAACAACAGATTAAGTTGAGACTGCTTGGAAAACAGCAACAAAAAAGGACTGTGTTGGTCAGTCTGAAAGGCAGCAGCCTCAGTATCTCTCTAGCCAATGTGTCCTCTAGGCTTTGCATGCATCCTGCAAAGGAGTTTTGCCGAGCGAGCTGAGGGAGCGTGAGGAGTTCGTTAACGCGTTCAGTTCCAAAACGAGCCCTTTTCTTCCTGTAAACAAGGCAGCGATGAGGGCTGGTCTCATGGAGGTGGGAGTCAGCCTCTCCACGGCCAACAGATAAGAGCTGAAAAGGACCTGGAAGTGAAGGTGCTTGGTCGTGCGCTTGGCAGGGAAGATGAAAGGGTTTTGCTGAAAGGGTGAAAGGAGCAGTCAGTGTGGTCAGTTGCCATCTAAGAAAAGGATCTTTCTGGCGGTCTGCTGACTGCTTTGTTGAATCAGTCACCCGATACCATTAAGGTCAGAGGAGGGAACATTGCAGGCATCACATTTTTCTCGCTGGCAGAGGCGAATCTCACTTCCTTTGTGTCTGTGGTAGCCAGGAGGATGGAGTTGGTAGCCCTTGTGCTGCAGCTGGCGTGGGAAATTCAGCTCCTCTAAGACCACATGCCTCCATGTGCACTGGGCGCTGCTTCCCGATGAAGAAATTCATCAGTCCCCCTAGCGCTTTTTAGGCTCTCAGCACCTTGAAGGAGCTTGGGGCCCTTGGTGCTTCATCCACAGATATTTTCCAGTCTTTATGCCCTCAGCTTGTGGGACTGTGTTTTTCTGTTCTTAGCTGATTCTGTGCATTTCATTGGCCCGAAGTAGGTCATCATCTTTGGCAGACTTTAGTTCATGGCACACATGAAAGATCGGCCTACAAATCCTTCATTTACACACAAGGAGTTTTCCAGGAGGTTTATCTGCATATAGCTACTGAATCTGAACGATCCTGCTGTTGCCCATTGCTCCATAGCAGTGTATCAGCCTTCCCTGCCTCTTCCCTCACAGCCAGCAGAAGAGCAAGAAACAAGGAATGTGCCTCCTTTTGAAAACACAGGGAGATCTCAGTGATTTCAGGCTTAGGCCCATAGGTAGAAAATCCCTCCTACAGGTTTGTTAACGCTTCCTGTGGAGCTCTTACTGCTTCCGTTCAGGCTAGAAACCCAGCAGGACTCCCTCACGTTGCCTAATGGGATTTTTTCCCACGTTGGCCAGCAGTTTGGACAAACAACTGCGAAAAATTATTTGGGAGGAGATGAAAGCAGCATTCGTATTTGAAAACACCATCAAAGATTTGAGTGGGTTTAGCGGTTTAGGCAAAGGTTCTGGGTTGTTTCTTTCTCATTCTGAAACAATGTAGCTATCTCTGGAAATTCACACTTGTTTATCAGTGTATACTTCAGGATTTTAGCTTGCATAACGTATGGGAAGAATACACGTGCAAATGCGCACCAGGGATTTACAAGCAGAGCTCGTGCTGAGTCCAGTGGGAAGGTCTCATGGGAGTAATCAACAGGCTTCAGCAGAACTTGTACTCTAGGGAAAACATCTTTGCTTTTCTGATTAAGTCCATCCTGTAATTGCCTTGTTATTGTGTGTGCCTGTGGAAAACGGCATCTTAAATCTTCTTACCAGCTAAAGACTAACCATGAACCCAATCGTTCAGGTCCTATAAAGTTTAAACTCCCTTTAGAAAACTAGAGGAAAGAAGTCAGGAGATTTCATTCTGTTTATTAGGTATTGTATCTCGGGTTTTATTCTGAGATTTCTTTGCAGCTTTGGGAATGCCATCAAGCAGCCAGATTTCCTCTTTCTTTGCCTCTGAGATATATGTCCCAGTATGGTTTCTTCCATGTAATTCAGAGCACTGCTAGGGAGTGGAGTGAGCTTGTCAAAGGTGACACAAGGCACAAGGCAGTAAAGAGCGGGAGCCTGAACCTGCGGAAGCAGCCATGGCTTAGCAGTTTGGATGTAGATTGTATCTTCTCCTCCCCTTCTGGTACCCAGTGGACCTCCCAAGCTTTTCTGCTAGCAGTGGCTGCTGAAGAGAGAATTTGGTCCATCATTAACCATTGCCTTTTTTAGCAAAACTGTGTACCCTTTGTCCAGCTGTGTCTAATTCTTGGCAGGCTTCATACTAGATTTTAATTTGGTTTTTAGTTTGCCTGTGGTCATACTGTATTGAGAACTGTTTATAGGTGCTGATTAATACATGGAACATGTGCAGCCTCGATTACCATATGAATATTTACTTCATGTGGCCTGTGATTGCTGTGAAGTACTGGCAAGAGACTGTGAAAGAGTAAATTGTACAAATAACAATGAGGCCATATTTATCTCAGACCCAAAAGCTTTTAGGACTTTCAGTAAATTTGCTGCAATAAATAATCCAGGCTTCTTCTTGGAGTATGCGTATATTCCCTGTTTGGTCACGTGCACGCCCCATCCGCCCCTCTTCCACTGGGTACATGCATGATCCCATCCCATCCTGGCCAGGCATATAAAATAGCAAATCTGCTTCAGTCATTTTTAGTGCCACCCCAGTGTCCATCCCACAAGCAGGAGCTTCCCATGGTCCCTGGGACTGAGGTCAGTGCTCAGGTGTTTCATGTAAACAGTTTAGGTGCTTGGCTGGGCTGAGTAGGGATAAAGAGTGGCACTCTCTTAACTGAGGAACTGTCTGTTGATAACTTCATTCTGAAGCTCTGAGTTGTTTTCTCTGATACTTTAATTATAAAACAGAATTCTCGAGGCTTTGAACAATGTCTTTGTTGTGAGATTGTTGTGCCCCCAAGGGCACACGTTCCAAATTTGCCTTGGAGAGGAACATGTGAAAGAAAAATGCAGTATTTACAAATGTGATTAGAAGAGAATTCAGAAGTCCAAAGAAAATGTCTTGGAGAATCCCGTGGTGAAAATCCTGTGCTTCCAAGCTGGGACATGAGGGGCTGCTGCCAGGCTTTTGAGGACAAAGTCCTGCAGACCTGGACAGTTCAGTCTCTGGTATTGCCACTCATTTGAGCCATTAGCACCTTTGGCAGAGCAAGAAATTACAGTAAAGTAGCAAGTTTTGTGTGACATCTGGTAGGTGGTACCTATCCATGTTTCTGCTCTTGCCCTGCAGCCAAGAGTGAAACTGCTTGAGGCTGCCAAGGCTTTGGTGGAAGAGGGCTACCTCAAGTGCTCTCATGTTTGCTGCAGGCTCAGTGCATGGACAGAAACACCAATTATGTGTCAACTGGCATGCAGGAGCTGTGCTGACCCCACATCAGGTTTGGATCCAGCATCCTTAGGTCTGTCATTTCATAGTCTGGATGCTGACAGACTGAATGCCTTTGAGGGAACAATTCCCAGCAGTTTCATACTCAAACAACAAAATGAGAGAAAAAATTCTCCAAGGGCATCATCTCCATCTGGGGACCATACTAACACTGGAAGACTCCCTGCTTCCATGGGAAGAAAGAGACCTTGTAACTGGGTGGTGTTTTGGATGTGCTGCACGTGTTTAGGACCCACTGCCTGCTCCCCTCAGATCCCCTTCAGTCCAGGGCTCAGTTCGTGTGAGAAGAAGCCAATGACTCTGGAGGCAGCTGTGATCCTTTGTCCTGCTGTCTCTCAGGTGCAGAAGGGTGAATATGACATATGCACCGTCCCAAAAACTACAGCAGATGTTCCTGACCCCAGACACACTGAATAACCGCATACGGCCAGGTGGGGTGTAGATGTGCACAACATATCTTGAAAAACACCACTCACAGCTGAAATAAATAGATTTTCCCCAATCATAAGACAACATCTATCGTTGCCTCTTAATTGTGTATTTAATATCGTTAAATACTTTACATTGTGCTTTCCCACACACATTCTCCACTGCAAGGCTGTGATTTCATCCAATCTGACAAGCTAAACAGGGGTAAGACTGTCTTTTACTTGGCTGGGAAACCCAGAACACCCTATGGTGGTGACTGTGATTCTGGAGCCAGTGCTTTTCTCTCAGGTCATGAGAGACCCCATCATCTGAGCACCACAGGGGAACAGCTCTGCTCCTGCAGATGCTGAGATAAAAGCTCTTATGGCCATTTTTGGCACATTTTGTGAGAGGATGATTCTTAGGCCAAAAGGAATTACCCTAGGAATAGAAGTGAGTCATCATGCAGCTGTAATTACATTTCACCTCTCCGCATAGATCTAATTTGATTTTTTTTTTGCCCCCCAAATATGTGCATTGTATCCTAAGTGTGCAGCATTGCTGCTTGCAGCTGAAAAAGCTACAGCAATGTTTGGTGGGTAAAATGTTTCGTAAATCTAGTGGGCTCATCTGTGCTTTGCCCATCGGTGCTCAATGGCATAGAGCCTGTAGTGTGTAAATAGATGTTCAAGTGCCACACGTTGTTATTGCTGCTGTTATCTTTGCAGATCACTAAAAAGCAGTGTTGCTGGAGTGGGGCTCTTCGACTCGGGTTTACTTCCAAGGATCCATCGAGGATTAACCCTGACACTCTGCCGAAGTATGCCTGCCCCGACTTGGTTTCCCAAAGCGGTTTTTGGGCCAAGGCTCTGCCAGAAGAGTTTGCGAATGAGGGAAACATCATAGCCTTCTGGGTGGACAAGAAAGGACGGGTTTTCTATCGGGTGAACGACTCCGCTGCGATGCTCTTCTTCAGCGGGGTGAGGACGGCAGAGCCTCTCTGGGCTTTGATCGACGTCTACGGACTCACCCGCGGAGTGCAGCTCTTAGGTGAGTACCTGGGTCCAAACACGCAGGGGTGATGCTGAGCCATCCCCGGCAAAGGGCCAGCCTGGCGCTGCCTGTCCCCCTCGCTGTGCTGGGACAGGCGCAGGGAAACGGCCGTTGTTCCTCCCCAGAGCATCTCACGACCTCAGCCTGGATCAGTGGGTGTTTGAAACTTAGTACGTAAATATAACACGAGTGAGAGGTGGGAAACAACCGACACAGTATTACACTAGAAGCCATCTGTAAATAAGTGGATTTCTGCTCGGAGGTGTTGCTCTATCAGAGCATAGTCTGGGGTGTGGCATATACCTTGTAAAACTTCCTTTTTATCTCCTCTGCTGCTTTCCCCACGCCGAAGTGGGGACATGCATTTTACGTGTCATGGATAAATCCTTCCTGGGTGGCACTACTGTGATTTTCTGGCTGGTTTAGAGGGCAGATTTGAAACATGGATATCTTCCAAATTATCTAGGAGAAGCTGCGGCTGGTTTTGCCAGGATGTTGCTTTCACAGAGGAGTTTGATTTGTCCTCTGGAGCCTGAAGGTTGGGTATACAGTTGGGGTTGGAGGACGAGGAGTGCTGAGTGCCTGTGTCTTCTGCCACCCTCAGCTGAAATGGAGATAGTTTGGCATTCATGGGGACTCAATCTAGCCCCAAACGTGCAGGCTGTCAAGGTTTGGGCTATTTGAGTTTATACATCTTAGAATAACTGAAAAGAGTCTCCAAGGACCCAACTTAAGGGGCAGCTAGGTTGCTGCGGGACCGGAGGTATCAGCATGCAGCCTTAGAGTTGGCTTTGCATTGTCTCTAGGGGGCAAATCACAGCACCTCTCCATGTAACAGTAGTTTCATGGGTCTTGTTTTCACTGTGGAAAAGGTTAGGTGGTATCTGCTGACCTTCATGAGCTGAAGTTCCTACTGAAGATGAGATGATCTTGCTAGGCTGAGAGACGACCTGGCTTTTTCCTGTTGTGCAGCCTGATAATCTCTGTTAAAATGATCTTCATGCTACATATCAAAAACTTTAATGAAGCCTTTTTCTGACAGTTCTGCCTCCTTTCTGCACTGCTTGCTGTATTAAAAAATATGGTGGCCGGACTGCCTGTAGCAACCTACACGGGAGGGAAGAGGGATGTAGGTTCAGGAGGTGAAGAAATGGGACTGACCTCTTCTTGCTGCAAAAACTATTGCACAAGACAGAGGAATTAAAGAATTTCTCGGCAGCTTTTTGCTTTCTTTTGGGAGCAGAAAGATTTATCTTTTGTTGTGAATCAGCTTGAATCGGAGCCACTAGGCAACTGTTCTTAAGCCAAGGTGGTGATATTTGAATTGTGATCTAGAATTTGGGCAAGTGTCATGCCAAGGGTTCAGTTAGGAAGAGCTTACAAATGACTCCAAGTCCTCCGGCTGTTCTTGTGAGATTTGGCACCTCGGGACTCCTCCGCCTGATTAATGAGGGCCCATAACTCTGGATTATGTGTTTCCTTTCAAAACACCGAGAAATCATTCCTATCCATCATCCGCCCCTGCGTTGTCCTAGCATCTTCCACATCCCTTTTCACAAGGAAAATGTGACTCTTGCCAGCCACTGACTTGCTTCTAGTCTAGCAGGCTCCGGACTCTCTGGTGGGCATAAAGTCCCTGAATGAAGCAGGCAGCTTCTGAGTTTACACAGTTGGCGTGGAGCTCAGATACATATTTATAGCTCGTTCCAGCAGTCTTCAGCAGGCTTTAAGCCTAGCAACTGTGCCGAAACATTTTCAGCTTGAGACCTCTCTATCTCCATTCATTATTACACAGCACTAAAAGTCAGAGCAGGGAAATCGTCGGCTGTGTTGCCTCTAGATCCTATAGACATACCCACTGCAATGCTCTGCATGCCTGTTTTAGTGTAGCAGACCACACATATAGTACAGGACAACTTGCCAAAAACTGCTGGGACTTGACAAATGAATTTCATAGCTTAGCTACAAACATATGGTTGAATTCAGCCTGGTATGGCATGCAGGGCATCTGGTGGAGGCTGGGGATGCTGGAGTGGTATGTTGAACAGAAGAGCCTAGCATTTCAGATTCCAATTCAGTGATTTATTGCCCCCCAACTCCAAACATGTTCCTTGTTCTTCAGCTTCACTATTTTCCCAGTGACTGTAGGTTCCAGGGTCATACTGCACTGCCTCCATTTGCTTTTCTGTGTATTTCACCCAAGAATCTGAACAAAAGCTTTACTATTTCTGGCGGCTGTCTTTCTGTTTATCGCAGAATTTTTCCCTCTCCACTCCCAATAATGTAACTTCACTTCCAAAATCAGACTTGCCTGAAGGGAGGACATGCAGCAGTAAGTCTTGTGTCACCGCAAGATCCCAGCTCTGCAGGGGAATGCACAGTGTGCATTTGCGTCCCCAAAAGTCACAACTTCCAAAACTTAACATTTTCATTTTGCTTATCTGCATTACAGTAGCAGTTCCAGCCAAAATTAGGGACCCAGTAAATCAGGGCAATGACCAAGTCTAGTGACACTGTTCCTGTCTTACAGATTTAATAAAGAGAGAGTTGAACAAAAGGGAGCCCAAATCCTGGGAGAGTTAAATGATTTGCCAGAGGTTATACAGCAGTGTCACCCAATTCAGGGATGCCATCAGCCTTGTTGCCTGGCTCAGTCCTGCTTCCCTCTCTATCAGCATCACAGGCACTGCACAACACTCCAGCGTCACAAAACTGTGCCTGTGGATGAAAGAGAAACAGCTGGTTTGTACCTTAATTTTTCATTTCCTTCTGCTTATGGCTTTACCCATAGCATCAGCCTTACTGATAATTACACCCATGTCTTTACTGCTGGCAATGCACAAGTTTATGTGGCTGTCGCAGGTGTTCCTGGGTCTGACTGTCCTTGCTGTGCATTCAGAAGTGGAGCGCTTTAAGCAGCTTCTTTGCCCACTTGATTTTGTTCACAGGTAAAAAGGGCTTGCATGGTCTACTGCATCTCAGCCAAGGGGAGGTCAGGAACTGAGTTTGGACCATGCCTTGGCTGTCACTGCTGGAATGAGTCAAAATTAGAGACTGGCTTAAATCCACCCTGAAGGTGGCTTCAGTGATGCGGTTCACAGTGCTTGCACGCTTGGTCACTGGTAGGAGGTCACTCCTTGCTCTCCTTGCCTCTACCTATGTTTTAGAGATAAAAAGGCTTAAAGTCACCCTGGAATCTGGAGCGCCTCAAGGTCTCAGCTGCTTTCCAGCCACAATGTAAAGGCTGGCATAGGAGAGGTTGTTGCAATCGAGTGCATGCATGTTCTGTGTTTCAGGGCATGAGTTTTAGCATAGATGCAGGCTTAAGTGACCTGTAAACATGCCCTTATACAGTGACTCTCCTGCCAATATGCTCAACTTGCAGGCAGGATGGTTTACAGCTCTGCTTCCTTTTTGGGCAGCTAGATTTGCACAAGTGCACTTTTACATTCCAGGATAATTTAAAGTAATATTTACTAGGAATGTGGCTTAGCCTTATGTTATCACTTCAACATACACACATGTTCATTCACACTTTAAAAAGAGTCCGAGAAAAATGGAATATAAGCAATCTGCTGCCTCGCTGCTATGATAAAGCGTCAAAAAAGAAAAGGAAAGAACCAGCTGTTTAAATCCTGGGGTCTTCAGAGCCCTGGAGGAAGGATGGCAGCTCATGGGAACCAAATGGTGTTGTCTCACATTAGCCTGCTTCTTTCAAGCACTTGGCTGGTGAGCCTGGCATAGACTAAGAAATGTTCATGTACCCTTTCTATGGACTCACCACTGGACAGCAGGGGTGGCAGCTTTCCTCAGTGATGTGTAAGTTAAAGCATAATGCGTGTCTTCAGCATTTTCCTGTACCTTTTGGTAGGGAATTCAAGGTTTACCCGCTGTATGGTGCCTTTTTGAAAATTGCCCCAATTTTTTGGCAGTCATACTGTAGCACAGGATCACAGAATGGTTGAGATTGGAAAGGACCTATGAAGGTCATCTAGTCCAAGCATCTACTGTCTTTTCTTTCAAAGCATGACAGATATGCTCTAAAAGTATGGAAAAATGGGACTGCAGAGAAATTATGATTTCAGCATATCGCCCCTGCCCTGTATTTCCAGTGGGGTAACGTGAGGAACGATCTGTTCATTTTCCTCAGTCCCGTTTGTTACTAGTATGGTCAGCAAACCAAACCCCTTTATTGTTTGTTACTCCGTTCATGCTCTTCTCCCATCCATTTGTATTTTCATTCATCGGGTATTTCAAAGTAGTCTTAGTCTTTTACCCGCACAGACTTGGAAAACCAAGGCTAGTTGTATTTAGATTGGCACACTGAGAGGCACCTGTTGAAAGCAAAGCTTCACCACCTCTTGGAAAGATAAAATGTGTGAAAAACTAGTAAGACCTTGCAAACTGGGAAAACTTTAAATGCACATGTATTAAATGTATATGTATTACATTTACCTGAAGTAGAAACAATATAAATATATACTTCAGTCATAAATACGTATACAGATTCTAGTAGAATTAACTGGCAGTGCTGTATATTAGATACTTGGGAAATCTTTTCTTTCTCCAGATGCCCTTCCTAGCTTCTTATTGCTTCATGTTTGCGAAGTATCAAAAGTCAAAATATGAACTGATCATGGATGGAAATGTACCCATCTCGGGACTCAAGCTAGTGTATATTTGACAAGGAAGTTGCACATTTTGTGGGGAAGGAAGGAAATATGTTTTTCTTTCTTTATCCCTGTCAGTTCTTAGGTAAATTGAATCTCCAGCTCCAGGGCACCTTTAGAAGAAACATTAAATAAGGCTCAAACGAAGTGGATTTATGGGCAAATTTCAGGTGTGAATGGTATAAGACTGATGATAAATCTAATTTATCATCACATGCGTCTGCAATTTTACTATGTGGTTATTACTATTTTATTTTCCAAATGCAAAACTTATTTTCCATTGCCCACGGGAATCCATTTCTGTTGCTAGTCTGACACATGCAAATA